GGAACTTTGAGTTACTAAGATATTAGTGCTTAGCCCTCTCTAACATTTTAGATAAGCTTAGCAGAGTAAAATGAGAAGCTTCTAGAAGCCTGGGGCTTAGCTTGAGTAAATTTTAAGTCCTATTTCAGTTTATAGAATAATTATTTGCTAATATAGGACTCATTAATCATTTGGGATAAGTTTTGAAATTATTATTATTTAGTCATGACTGAAAATGGTACTATTAATTAAGGCTTGAGACCATAGAAATTACATAACAAATATATTTAGAGTAAATATTTTAATATAAAAGTTTAAATGTTGAGATATTTATTGAAATGAATATTTAAGCATTTATGATGAGATGTGACAAGCATGTTTGCAGGCTTTAATAAACCTAGACTCTTGTTGAATAAAATATTTAATTTTATGTTCTTTTCTATCTATTATGATAGGGTGTTATTTATGGTTTTGAATAGTAAGAAAAAAATTTTATAACCTTCATAACTTTTTTTTACTAGTTTAATCATTTCTACTAAGGCTAGTTTTTAAATATCTATTTAATAGACAAAATTTTATAACCATAATAGTTCCTTAAAATATAGATTAATTATTTTCTATTATGATCATCTTTTCAAAGTCAATTTGAAAATTGCTTTATATCTTTATATCATGGTAATTATTGTTATCCGTTTAAATCTTTTTATTATCATAGTATTTGATTAATTTTTTAACTAGTAAGGTTAGGGTGTTCCAAGTGGAGCAGATATGGCCTTTGCAAGAGGCGTCACCTTGCCAAGGGAGGAGGGAAGAGGCAACTAGGCTGGGCGACGCGAGGGAGATGAGGGTCATCTAAGTCAGATCTCAGATCGCATACAAGAGTGGCTGAGAAGAGGAAGGCTGAGTTATTTTCCTGTAGATTTGGAGGGGGGGACGAGAGTCATCTGGTGGAAGACTAATTATTTTGCTTCAAACTTTTGCTTGTGCTCTATCCCCCGTCACAACTCACAACACAAGTGCTATGTTTTTTTTTTTTAATAATTATTTTTTAATTTTTTAAATATTTATATAAGTGCTGGAGGCTAACTCGCGAGGTAACTTGTAGCCTGTCCCACTTACATGACTTGTTAATGGTCGGTTTCTCTCTCTTAACATGCAGGTTTTTACTGGCCCATTTTAACCAGGTCTAGGTGGGAATGCTGGGTAAGTGGGTATGCCAAGTTATGGGTTGTTTGCTCAGCCCTAGTGTTGTCTAGCTAAGCGACCAAAGACGCAAAGGATTTCACTCATGCCCAATGCGCTAGACACTCTACATGGCATGTGAACTGCCTTTAACAAAGCCTTGTGCTTTAGGGAAACCCCAATAACGTGCTAGTCATCTTCCTTGGCGTGTGATTGAGTTAATTCATAATCCACTACTTTCTTTGCTATTGCAGATACTCCCTCCGTCTTTATAAATAAATATTTTTAATCAAATCACATAAATCAATAAAAATTAATTATTTAATTAAAAACACAATAACATTTCAATTTTGCCCTTAATTATTATAAATAAAAAATGAATTTTTTTAAAATAAATTAATAAGAATAGTTATCTTTTTCTCTTTTCAATTTAATAAGGGTATAATGATTTTTTATTAAAAAATATGTTAACAATTTCTTATATTTATTGATAAAAAAAATTTTAAAAGATCTTTTTACATATGAAGGCAGACGGAGTAGTGTTAGCCAACCACATTTATTAACACACAACATCACCTAGACAAAGTTTTGTGATTTACACTGCACTTAATGCGTAAAATCAACCGATCTGACATGTATTTATTGCTTTTGCATTGAGTGATTTTTCTGAATAATGTCTCATTTGTGTGTTCTAATATTTATAACGGTTATAATCTTATTTTTAACAACTAGAACTTCTTAGGAACTATACATACAACTGCATTTAAGTTGGTCGATAAGAATTTAAATGCATTCAACTGTTTTACATCTATTGCATTCAATTTGCCTATTAAAAGTTCTTATTACTTTGATTAGGCTTCACTATTGTTTATATACTCTGAGAGAGCTTTTAAACATTCAATTCTCTTATCTTTAAAGATACTCAAGAGGTGGAATCCTTGAGTAGGATTTGATAGCTTACAAATATTTTGCAAAGGTGCGTGAGAAATCAAGACAAGTTAGTCTTAGAATTGTACTGACTGCAAATACCCTATTTGCAAGAGTTAGATGAAAATATCAAATAGTTTGTCTCAAGGACTAAACGTAGGGCTTGTAAAACAAAACCAGAATAAACTCTTGTGTGCATATCCTTCTTTCCTTGATTTAAACTTTGTTTAATAGCTCATTTCTTCCTGTGCTATACTTTATCATGTTTTGAAGTTACATTGCTTTTGAGAATAGCTTTTAAAAATTTTATAACACTCAATTCACCAATTCTTGAGTGATACTCTTATCACACAAATAACACCTTAATTACCACCTTTCATGCTCTCTTTAATAGCCCTTTTAAACTTTAGATGGTCCCGGAATAATTTGAGACCATCATCCTGGTCTCAAGATTTGTTGCCCACCCCAGGTCAATTCCACAATCTCTAAAAATATTCACACTTTAGACCCCGGAAAATTAGAATCTTTTTAATCCCTGCTAACCTCTGACCATTTCTTGGGCCTCCATATCTCATGTCATATTTTATGCTATAAATTTTTAAGATGTTAAACCTTGCTTGCCCTAAACCTTCACAATATTTTTCCCAGGTTCCAGACAATTCTCTTCCTCAACATTAACAAAAAAGTAAATCATATGCAAAAAAAAAAAAAAAACAAACAAACAAACAAACAATGAGACAGCTTAATGTCCCAAAACTTCCCGTTTTCAACATGATATTGGATCATTTGAGAGAGTACTTCAGCCGCCCTAAAGAATAAGGTGAGAAGGGACCACTCGTTCCAATTGTGGGATATATTCCTGCCCAATTCAAATGTTAATGAAAATCAGCAAACAATTGCAACATATATACTCTTCCATAAGTAAAAGCCTATCATTTTCTCTGATAAAATAAGAAATAATCAGAAAAAGTGTGACTAAAAAAGTACATATATTAATGAAAAAGGAGGAAAAGAAAGGCAAAAGGACATCATACCAAAATTGAGGTATTGTCTTACAAACCACGAACCATCCCTTCACCAATACTATCAACAAGATCAGAAATCTTGCCATGAAAAATTGGATAGTCAACTTCGAGCACATGTATAGTGAAGCTAATGGATGCGCAAATTGGCTTGCCCGACAAGCTTCGAATGATAATTTTGCTATTACAATTTTCAATGAGTTACCATTTGGGCACAAAAATTGTATGATTTCTGACATGATTATTTTTCCCTGCACAGTTTTCCTTGGTCTCCTATTCCAGCATATATATAAACCTCAAACTAGTTCAAAATCATAAACCATTCAAAAACATAGGATGCTGAAAAATGTTTCAAGGAAATACGAGATACCATTGACTGTGTCAAGATCTGAGCATAGCCACCACCCCCACCCAGAAAAAAACTGAAATAAAATAGATACATGAATTATTGTTATAGATCTTATGAAAGTAATTACACTCTTTGATACATGATTGCAATAAAAGGAGATGATTGTAATAAAAGGAGAGAGAAATTGATAAGTCCTTAGGTGAGGTCTACATATAAGTGGGATTGGGTAGTTTGTAATTAGGCTATGTGAATAATGAATTCAATGGAATTGTGTTGGTCTCCTATTTCTCGTCTCTCTCTGTTCTATCATTCCTTCTCTAACCCTCCGTCTTCTTCTCTCATTTCCTATCTTTCTTTTACAATACAACAAGCCTTATCCCACTAGGTAAGGTTGGTTATGTAGATTGCACAAAGCCATTGTGAAATATAAATTGCAAAATAAGTAGACTGTGGTATAGTTTTACAGAATATGAAGGTCATGAGTCTAAACATTTACCTCATAGTGGAAGCACATCACAGCCAGGTACAAAATATACTATGCTGAAAATTGTATCAAAAATTCATTCCAAAAAATAAAAATTTCATCAAAGATACATGAGAATTCATCATTTTCTTTAATACCAGAGCAATTCCCAAAAATATCCTGAAACATAAATTAAATAGATTAAATTCTTTATATAAGTCATATGAAACTAATTACGTTATACAAGCAAATAATGAGGTAACTAAATTTCATATTGTAGCGCCAAAAAATCCCCTTTTTCTGGTAGACTTACGATGTCCAAATATTCAAATGGAAAGGTGTTGGAAGATTTCTCAACAAAAAATATTTATTGTATCATCCAAACGTTGATTGTTGAAGCATGAATTAAAACCAGCAAACCAGTAAAAATAGGTTTTGGCAGGTACAATATGTGTTATATATCATTCCGAGATTAATAAAGTGCTAAAAAAAAAATGCTACCTATAGGTTTGTAGCAACACTCAAATTTTGTTCACTTTGATGCGCATCATGTTAAGAACATATCAAAGTTCTCCTCTTTGGAATCAAGATATAAATGAGGAAGATATATGCAAGTCAGTATGAATAGAGATAAAGATTGTCAGAAACAAAGTAACAAAGATCACACCTCAATAAGCACGCACCCTCTACATTAATTCCGGTTCTTTTCCAATGACTAACCAGTCTCTAAGGCTATCAGTCAAATTCCCATGATTGTAACATCAATGTATGAAAAAATATATCTCAAGATGTTCATACATATATACCATAATAAAATTCAGCCATAGCAATAACTAGAAACGGAAGTCAGAAAGAATATGTACTCCAGTCAAGACAGCAAAAAGGGATAGTTCTGATCGGACATCAATATAGAAACTGTTCTGGCTTTTGTGCCATCATGAGATAAAGCTTCTTGTTATCGTTGCTAGTTGAAAATAAACATGCAAAATTATTTGTAATTTAAGAAGGAAGAATATATCATGAGACCACAAATATATTCATCACAGCAAAAAAAAAAAAAATTATCACGGGAAAAAAATAACATCAAGACTAGATAGAAAATAATATATTCAGTTATCACAGCCACCTCGATTGTAAACAACCTCGGACTATCCCAGTCTCTACAACTATCAGACAATTCTAATGTAATGAATCTGAGTAAACTAAAGAAATTGAGTGTTTCCAAATGACAAAATTTTTAATAACGATAACAGAGAAATAGATACATGACATACTTTAAGCACGTATTTTCTCTTGAATCCTTCAAATACAGAAACTGTTCTGGTTTTTCTGTCATCAATTGTTGAAAATATGCCTGCAACATTATTCATTCTATAAGAAAGAAAGAAAGAAAATACAAGGTGACCACAAATATATCCTTCAATGCAAAAAAAGAAAAAAGAAAAGAAGAAGAAGAAGAAAAGCAGCAGCAACTTCAATAGTAACAATTAAAAAGAAAAAAAAAATATCATATGTATAAAAAGAGCAATTACGAAGATGGAGTTATAACATACTTGAAGCAAATCTTTGTCTCTTGCTAAAAACAAAGTCAAAGCATCTAATCTAATAAAATTTAAAAAAAAAAAAAAGAATCACTGAAAATTTTAGTCAGGTTGTGTCTCCCGTCTTAGCAAGCTAATTTAAAAAAGAGAAGCTTATAACTTCATTACTTGAACAGAAACAGAAACGACCACAGCACATTATTGAAGAAATTGAACATACTTCAAACCATACCATCTAATTGCAAGTATTTCTTTTCACTGTGCTTTTGAAATTAGCTTGAACAAGCAACAAAAATGAATATGTTAGCTTGACCTTACTTCAACAGGACTTTGAAATCATCATCTGAGAACACCAAGAACTGATGGCAAAACACTGCAAAATGTCCAACTCCATCTGTAATCTCTATAATAGATCAATCAGAAAATGGGGGCAAAGCTACACGAAGTAAAGAACAATAGAGTAGATAAGAATAATCAACAAGCCATTAATTGAGAAGTCTTACTTCTTGTTATCATAAAATCGAGTTAACACCATGATGGCTTCCAAGACCATAAAATTTCCCCCTCCAAAATGGTATATTTGACAAACTCATGCAACAATCACACAATTTGTTCATTACGGGTGAGAAAATTTCAATTAAGATGCAAGATTCAGGACAAAATGGATGGAAGAGATAGAAAGTGATATTTGAGTTCTAGAAATCGAAGAAAGAAAGAAAGATATAGGAAAGAGAAAGGAAAGTCAGAGTTATTGAACCAAATAAAGAGAGATAAAGTTAACAGAAAGAGAGGTCTGCATTTTCTGACAGTTTGAATTTGATGTGTTTATTGTGATTTGATAAAATAGATTAAAAGGGGGGCATTGAAATGTAACAGAATTTTAATAGGGGTAAGCTGTAAACATGAGTTAGCATCATAACAATTAAAAAAGTATTAGCTAAGAAAAATAAACAAAACAAAGGATACCTACATTAATGCAAACACAACACCATAATAAGATGAAAGGCAACATGGCTTACTGTATTGCTTCTAAAGCAAATTAGCTACCAAGAGATTTAAGAAATATGCTGTTGATTCATATACCTTAGACCTCCTTTGCAGTAATAATAAAGAACAGACTGTAATATAACTTTTATCATTTGTAATCCACTTCATTGTAACCCAATCAAAACAACTTTAAGAGAAATTAATAGTAAATTTCCATCTTTAAAAGATTCGCAGGCAAAATTAATCATAAAAACATATAACCATGTCAAAACATGAATTTTACTCAGGAAGTGCTATCACATTTTATGTTCAAGTCCAGGCTAGAACCTTTCTATTTGAATGCATTCTCTCATAACCTCCTCATCACCAGTAGTCATTGCAGGAACATTCCCCATTAACAAAGTGATGAAAACGATTAGCATCTCTAACAATAATCTCCCTCTTAACTATCTTTGATATGTATTTAGTAACATTGTGACAATCAGCACAAACACGAAGGTTCTTTGTAATCCTAAGAGAACTTCCATATGGTGTGCTTAAAAGACCGAATGCTATAGCCAATCTCTCACTATGTCCCCAAAGCAACTTCACCTTCATTGGCTCATCCACATCACGAAGAACACAACTTGTATCAGGCACATAACCACAAGCTTCAACCTCAGCTCTCAAATTTTCTAATAACTCATAAATGTCTTCCCACTTAGGATGTGAATCATCACCAGCAAAAAATGAGTATATCTGGCTTTCCACTTCAATCAAACTATAAGCAGGTGTTTTCCACAGGCCCCTAGTTCTCATGAGGTTTCTTATGTAATTTACACATTCCCATCTTTTTACCTGGGCATATATATTTGATAGCTTGACATAAATTCCAGAATTATAGTAGTCTAGAGAGAGTAATCTATCTGCTACTTGTATGCCCATATCCATGTTCTTATGGGTCTGGCAACCACTGAGCAAAGCTTCAAGCACATCAGTGCTAGGTTCAAAGGGCAATTGTTTTACCAATGCCTCAGCTTCTTGGAGACGGCCAGCTCGACTAAGAAGATCCACTAGGCAAGCATAGTGCTTTTCAGTAGGCTTAATGTTATGATCTCTTTCCATACTATGAAATAAAGTCTTACCCTCCTCAATAAGTCCTGAGTGGCTGCAGGCAGCTAGGAGAGAAACAAATGTAGTATGATTTGGCTCAAGGCCTTCTTTCATCATTCTATCATAGACACCAATAGCATGATGTCCATGACCATGCATGCCATAACCCATAATCATAGAGTTACAAAATATAACATCTTTCAAATGGAATCCATAATTGAACAGTATCTCAGCTGAGATAAGTTTACCACATTTGGCATACATATCAATCAAGGCTGACATATTAACAGCATTGAATGCATAATCATGCCGGATTAAGTGAGCATGGATGCTCATACCTTTCTTGAGAGATCCCATGTGAGCACAACAATGCACTAGACTAACAAGAGTGGCTGAATTGGCTGACACATTCTCTTCTTGCATCTGAATAAAAAATTTCAGGGCATCTTCTGAATATCCGTTTTGCGATAAACCGACTAGCATAGCAGTCCAAGTAATTACATTCCTTTCTTTCATTCTTCCAAAAACAGTAGTCGCCTGCTTGGTGGCACCACATTTAGAGTACATGTCAACAATTGCAGTGGACAAAACTAGATTTGATTCAAGTCCTTTTCTTATGATGCATGCATGGAGGATCTTTCCACTGTCCAAATTACATGTTTGAGAACAACCCTGAATAAGGCTCACCAAGGTTCCTGAATCAAATGAAGCACCACTAAGAACCATTCTATGAAAGAGCGAAAATGATTCATGTATCATACCATTTTCAACATATCCTGAAATCATGGCATTCCAAGAAACCAAATTTCTACCAGACATGCTATTGAAAACCCAACAAGCACTTTCAATGTCTCCCATTTTACAATACATATCAAGCAAAGCAGTAAGCACCATAACATCATCACCCATCCCTAATGCAAGGACACAACCATGAACACATCTTCCAAGCTTGAGAAGTCCACTTTCCCCACACGCCTTAAGTAAGCTCGCCATAGTTACTGGACTAGGACAAATTTTATTACCTATCATATTAAAAAACATTCCAATTGCCTCCTGAAAGAAGCATTGCTGCACATAACCTCCAATAATTGAATTCCAACAAACAACATCTCTTTCAGGCATTTGATCAAATAATCTCCGTGCTTCATCAAGATAACCAGATTTTGCCAAAAAATTAATCATTGAACTGCCAAAATATGGGTCTAAATGAAACCCTCTCACAACAGCTCTCTTATATATTTCCATCCCGGTTTCTTTATCCAATAAGCCACTACAAGCCTTAAGAGCAAAATTGCATGTATAGCTATCAATTTCAATATTACGAGAGCCCATCATTTTGAAAAGCTGAAGAGCCTCCTTGTATTGCTGGTTTTTGGTGTACCCAGCAACCATGGCATTGCAAAGAATGGTTTTTGGATGAGAAATTTGATCAAAAACTTGACGGCCAATATTGAGAAGGCCCAAATCAGAATAGGCATTAATAAGTTTGGATACCACAAAGTGATCAGTAAATGCTGAGTTCGTAATAATCCGTGCATGGATGGATTTGACATGGACAAGGTTCTTTGAGATTCCCTGCAAGAGTGAAGAGATGTTGTAGACCATGGGAAGAGATTGGTTGAATGGGGCATCTTTAACAGAAGCAAAGCTTGAAAATGCAGAGGTGTGAACGAGCCCGCAGGTGAATCTGACGTGCACATAAGATAAAACATGAACCAAAAGAGAAGAAAGTGGGGATGATGTCAGGTAATTTTTCTTCTAAATTCATAACTCATTCACGTTTTTGAGACGGTGTGGGTGAGGAAAGTAAAACCACAACATCATTATGCCTATCTTCAATTGAATTAGCCACAAGCTTCACAGGATCAAAGCCATTCATTTCTCACCACATAACCTCCTTCCCTTTATATACCTGCTTCGGCCGCATCTCCAAGACCTTCTTCTTCTGCCCTAGTCATCATTCAGATGGCAACCAATTAACATCACTCTACCTCAACCAAACTTTGATTTTATGTGTCAAGACCAAAATAAATATATATAAAAAATAATTCTAAGAATCCAAAGCACCGAGGAAAAAACCCATTGGCAAGAAAGCGTCAGAGTCCACAAGCTTACTGCGGCCATCAAGAATTGGCTAGGCATTGTTCAGCCAAAATATTAGTCGGCTAATCAAAATTAAATTTTTAAGCTCAAATTAATTTTCATGAAGTCCAGATAATTCTAATGTAGCCAAATTAACTTGTATGAGCCTATTTGTAATTATCAGGTCTCAAAATAACTTCCACTAACTAAATTCCAATAAACCAAAGCAGTGAATATTCAAGAAAATAAGGAGGTTACCAAAGGAAATTATCAAGTTAGAGCAGTTAACGATGAACATGCAAAGTGAAGGGTTGAGCTTGAAAAACCGCCATCAAGTTGTGCGAATAAAAGAAGCAAAGTAGACATCCCAGAGGACATATATCTCAACGCAACGATCAACACATAAACACCATTATTGCATCAGTTTAGCATTTAGCTAGGCATGTTTTACCTTTAGTTTTTTATCAATTCCCCAGCTTTGTGTAACTTTCCTGATGGATCAGTCACCTTTTCTTGTATTTAGTTTTAGTTCCCTGTAAACATTTTGTTCTCTTCATGTATTAAATTTGCAAACTTATTTCAAAATTTGTGATTTGCTCACAAATTGATCTATTAGAATTAACTCCTATGATATTTTGATAAAAAGCTACCAAAGAGTGTAGAAGCTTAAGAGCAATGACTCCTATGATATTTTACTCAACCTAGCCGAAGCAATCAGACTCCATACCATACCAGAGATAATGATTTCGAAGCACTTACCTGAAACTTGAACAATTAACTCTCACAAAGGAAACAGAAATGAGCTCTTGCAATGACCAGTAACTGAAGCACAAACGGCGCGGCGGAAATCCTATTACTCAGCAAAGCACGAGAACAGTGATGAGAAGAGAAAATGGCAGTGGCCAGTCATGGGGTTCAACAAAGCTTCGAAGCTTCAAAGAATCACAGTGGATGGCAAGGGGAGAATGGTTACCGCGACGAGAGGAGACAGTGGTGAACGGACGGAGCAAATAGAGCTGAGCAAGGAAGACGTCGGCCTCTGAAATAGAGAGGGAGGGAGGACGATACAGGAGAGAGATACATCGGCGACGATGGATGGCGGACTAGGAGCGGCGGACGGTGCAACGGACAGAAACGACGGTCACCATGAGGAAAAGCAGCCGGCTAAATGGAGAGGTGAAGTATTTTTCTTTTTTTTTTTTATTTAATTAGAGAGGTGAAGTATCTTACCTTTTGTAAATTGCATTAAAATTACTCTTCCTCGTACAATGAAAATACTGTTTTTTCTACAATAAAAGATTATTTAATGTTTTAATATATGTTTTTTATAATTATTATAACACAAAAAACTTTACTCCCTTCATTTAAAAATATAAGATATTTTTAACTAAATCTTACCCTTAATAAAGTAGTGACCTACTTTCAAATTAGCACTATTTTTTTATATTTACATCTATTAAACACCTTATAATAAATATACACTCATTCATCAATAGAAACACTTTTTTAAAAAAAGTCAATGATTACATCTTAAAAGATTAAAAATATATTACATTTATAAACATCTAACTTTTTAAAAAATACCTTGTATTTTTAAATGAAAAGAGAAATTGTGTGTACCAAAAAGAATATAATTTATAATTCTGCTTGTAAATCATGAAGCAAATGGGTATGAATTCTCTCCTCTTCCTTCCTATCATCTTCCATTCTTTTTCATTTTTAACCATTAAATTAACATTTAGATGGTTTAGATTTGATTTCCTATAAAATTATTATTAAAATATTAAATTATAAAAAATATAAAATATATTTGAGAAAAATTCAGCACCCCAAAACATAAAATATTTTAATAAAAATAAAGTTTTATTAATTATATTTTTTAAATATTACACTTTTCATTATATTCTCTCTATCTAATTTTCTTTGATAAATGGAACATTAAAAAAATAATTTTTTTGCTTTAAACCCATGAGCTGCATGGGCTGGAATGGAGGAGACTTGGGGTTGTTTAGTTTTTTTTTTCTTATTTTTTATTTTCAAAATTATTTTGTTATACAATTTTTGGAATTGTTTTTCAAAACAAAATGAAAATAGTTGTGCTAATTTAATAACCATTTTAAAATTGAAAAAAGTTAAATGGCAATTTGGACACTCAACTATAGGTTTAGGGGTATTTTGAACTTTAGTACATAATTGGTATATTTTAAACTTTCAGCAACTAAACTTAAGGCATCATTGGCCCTACTGTTAAATTGTTCCTAAAATCTATTAAAGGGTAATAAGTGGCAACATCTTTTTTTGTTATTGTTGGTTGGCAAGGATGAAGTTATAATTCTTAGCCAACTCGTTGCATCCCACCCACTTTATTTATTTATCCTCACCCACCTCCCTTCCTCTGCCATTTCCTCACTCAGATTCAACAACGAGGTGCAGAGACTAAAAAGGGGATGGTTGTTTCCTCATCATCATCGTTGTTCGTAAGCAAAAGGAGGAAGCTTGGACTCTTAAAGCAACAAAATTATGAAGGTGTTGCTAGATGCTATCATTATGAGATCGTGGTGCTTCATTGGACTCCATAGAGTGAGGCTAACCCTGGGAGTTAGCCTAAATTATAGGTGCCAAAATTATAATCAGGTATCCATAAATTGGAGGTTCTTTCTTTGTTCCTTTTGGGTTTGATTAGTGAATGATCCCCTGCAAACTAGGATCTTTAATGTGACAAGGAAGATGTGGGTGTAATATCCCATGATTTGATCTAAGGGTTAAACTAATTAACTAAGAAGTTTAATTAATTAATTGAGGTAATTGGAAGTTAATTGGGGAGTTTAGGTAGCCATTTGGGTTCATTAGATCTTATATAGGTTTTAGAATAAGGCTTGAGAAGCTATTTGGCCATCTTGGCCTAAATTGTTGGGCCTAAGTGAGGCTACTCGTTTTGGACTATTTATCGTGGTAGATGATGCATTTTAAATCTCAAGTTTGTAGTTCAAAACAATAGAAAATAAGAGAGTTTGAGAGGATGGATAGTAGGAGACAAGAGAGGCTTAGCTAGGGTTCCATTTTGGTTTTAGTCTTCTAATTCTTTGGATAAGCTTCCATTCTCTCTTTTCTTCTCCTTCTATACATTTTTTCTTAAGTTTTCTGAAATGGGGAGCTTAGATCCAAATTGTTGTTGAAGTCCAGCCATGCATATGACTTCTTTGGAATCTAATGATGATTTTCTACCTTTCTAATCTTGAGTAATTGTAGTTGGCAGCATTTAATGCTATCAATGAGGGGTTTAGAGTTAACCCTAATGATACATATTTAAGTTTAAGTTAATAAGGTTGGCTAAAAGTGTTTGTTAAGCTTAATAAAAATTAAATAAGCTAATGAAAGTGAGAAATGGGGTTGATTTTAGTTAATCATGTTTAATGAGGGTGTTGGGTCTTAATTGTGATTAAGGGTTAATTAATAATAACTAATTATTAATATTAATTATTAGCCATTGATTGTAGAGTAATTATTTTTGAAGCTTGCATTGGTAGGGAACTTCCTCAATAAATCCTAATTTTACTCTTGAGAGTGGTAAATCCAAGAATTAAAATAAACAGGAGTTTAATTTTTAGGGGCTTTTACACATATAGGTCATATCATAAGATTAAATAAAAGAAAGTCTATCCTTTCTTAAATTTTAAAAGTGACCTTTTTAATATTTGTTTATATTTAATTTACAAAACTGCCTTTTTTAAAATTACAACACTTTGTTTTCTTTACAAACACCAAAAGAGACTCAAAATGTGAGAAATCAGCGAATGATAGAGATAAACGCGACCTTTAATCACGATGGAAGAAACAATTCGAAGATGAAAGAAAGCAAAGTAGTATGAGCGATCCACAGTTATGACAGCGAAAGACAAATGCTAGGTAAGAGACATCGATACTACTCGACAGAACAAAGCACACTGACGGGGAAACAGAACTACAGATTCATGATTTTTTATTTTATTAATTTAGGTATTTGATTTTCTATAATAAGCTAAGAGTCCAAAATTTTTATGGATTGTATTTTATCCGTTTTTGGCAAATAATTATGTGTTATTGGGCTTAACTTCATCAACCCCTACCAACTTCATTAAACTTTCCTAGGATTGTTAATGTCACCCAACAACTCCAACATTCACATTTAATGCCCTAATTTCGGATATAGATGAGGCTCACTAATTAAAAGTGTGTAAAACCCTCAATCATTAGTTTAAATTACTCAAACAACTCCCATTAACTCTATTTGAGTCAATGGGTTCAAAAACCTTATTTATATAGACCAAAATTCAACCCCACACTGCAAAGCTTAGCTTCAAAATAGTATAGAAGGAAGGAAAAAGGGTGGGAAAGACTTACCTTAGTGATTAGGAATAACAAATCCTCCTAAATCCTTCAAAATGTCATGCCCCAGCAAAGTACAATTTGTGCCCTTCATTTTCTTTCTATTCCTTCTTCTGTTTTTCAAGTGTTGCATGTTCTGATTTATCGAAAAATCTAACCATGCACCACACTGCATGTAGCCATGCTATAACGGATGGTACTAAGAGGGACTTTTTCCTATTATATAATGCATCGAGGCTTGTGTAGCATATGTTGCTACATGTGGTACAGCAAGAGGACCCCTGAGTTCTCTTCTCCCTTCAAGCTCGAGTGGCCCAACTTTTGCTTCAAACTTTATCTTCACGCTGCAGCCACATGCCAATGAGGCTCATTAACCTTTGCTAACCATTTTCTAACTTTAGTTTACTTAATTAAACTTGATTATCTCTTTAATTAATTAAAGGATTAAAATTTGAAATGTCACAGGTGGAAGGTCAAACGGAAAGGGGGGGAGAGAGAGGAGAGGCAATGTTGTCCATGAATAGAGGTGGGGAAAGGCCTGACACTATGAGTGGCCCTTGACTGACTTGAGCCTAAAATAGCCAAGTCAAATGCCCAATTATCCTAAAATGATTTCATATGCAAAGCCTAACTCTTGAATTCATTGGCCCAGGGGCATAAGATTTCAAGCCCTTTTATTTGTTTTCTGACTTTTATTATTAGCTTATTAAAGTAGCAAATCATTGTCTAAATTTTCTAAAATCAAACCAAACCATTGCTTTGCTTGTCCGAAGATAAATAAATTAAATTGTCTTATGAGTACACTGATGAGGATTGAGGAGAGATGACTAAATAAGAATGAGTGAGTGTGAATGAAGTGGCTAGGCTAGGTAGGGCTTTTTTTTTAGAAAAAAAAATACATATAGATCCCATGAAATAGACTTATTTACAAATAAGTTCTATAAAATTTATAAACCATAGTTAAGTTTTTTTTTTTGAGATCTGAGTGTAATTTAAAATTATAGTACAAAGACATAAAAATACATTACATCAATAGAGTAATTTATAATTACTTTATCAGTAATTTACAACTATCATTTCAATATTTTATAAATATAATTTCACATATTTAATAGTTAAACATAAAAATAGAGTAAAACATAAAAATAGTGAAGATAATGATGATAAGGGTGAAAAAATTAACCTCACCACCAGCTAAAGTTTCCATAATTCAAAGTCAAAATAAGCTTCAAATATTATTGCCAATGGTGTTAAAGTTCAAATGTTTAGAATTTACTGTACTAGGACCATACTTTTTTTTTTGGATATTAAATCAGAGTCACATTTAATTTATATTTGCTTCTAATAACATGAGTCCAAAGGGCCTCCTTGTCATTAACCAAACCACACCCAGTTTTCATGAGAAAAACATTGTTCTGTAACTTACCATAAAAAATATCCAGCTCTTCTATCGGTCTCATCACAGACATTTATCAGCAAGCTAGTTGTTTGCATGGAATATAAAGGAATAGCTTTGACTACAGAAGAGACAAGCATATGTCTTTCCAGAAACGCATTGGCGCTCATCAGAATGTGCTCATCACCCTGTAAGGGTGATCTGGCCCTTCATTCCTACTTCAAATGATATCTGCTATGATCTAAAATTATTTTTTTAATATTTTTATGTTATATTTATTAAAACAAAAATGGATAAAGTATATATTTAAATCTTTAATTTTATACAAGGTTTCATTTTAGTCCCTTAATTTTATAAAATA